GAAAATCGTCCCCACAAGGTATTACAAATGCACGCACGCACACACACACACACACACACACACACACAGAGCGCTGACGCTCCAACATTCCTGCACATCCCTGCAAAAGCTGGAAAAAGGTCACAGCGAGCGAGGCGGCGAGTAAAAGGAGCGATCTGTGTCAGTCGGACTCGGCTCCGGGCCGGGTCCAGACATTTTAGGGAAAGTGATAAAGTGGGCGGTCCGATCTGACCGTTAACCCTTTCAGAACCAAGTAAGGTTCTGGGTTTTATAATCCAGTAATAACAGGCCGGTTAAACATGAACTGTTGAATTATTATTGTTATTAATAATCCAGTTTCTGATCCACTTTCCAGAGGCTGAAACACAACTAAAGGGAAGAGTTTGACAAGTTTATTTAAATAAATCCTACAAAAGAGATACAAAAATATTTTAATATTTCAGCACAAATATGAATTATTGGAGCTGATGTTTCAAAGAAAGTGATCAGAAGAGTTAATCTAGCTGATTGGTGACGTTTCAGTCTGTGAAAATGAAGCAGAGCATCTGGAAACGGCGCCTGCAGCCCAAACTGAGGGCGAAGGCTTCCTGTCCCGCCTCCTGCTGACAGGCACCTGTGTGAGGATGTAACTCTGTGACAGACGGGATGGAGGGATGACGGAGAGATGGAAGGAAGGATGGAGAGCTGAGGAGGGGGAGGAAAGCCTATAAATCCTCTGCAGCCTCTTGATTCGCCCAGGTCGTCTCTGAGAGTTCGACAGAAATAAAAGCAGCCGTGTGATTGGCTGTGAGCTGCCTGCCTGGCTCTCTCAGCCCAGTAAATTCATGCTGCTGCAGTCTTTTATTTTAACTCCCTCCGTCTGCTTTTACATCGCGGCTGCAGCGAGGTGGGATATCTGGTGTCGGTTAACAGCGCTTGGCAGAGTGCGAGCGGAGCGATGGAGGGATGTATGGTGAGACAGATCGAGGAGAGGGGGGAGGACAGGATCCACTCACCATATGTTGGCTATTTATTACCTCAGTCTAACTGTCTCTCTGTCCTCATCTGAACATCTATCACTTTGTTTCGGATCGGCAGATACGACCTGGGAATCAAACACAAACTCCCACCGCTCCAGATTTATACAGCCATAGAAACACGTCCGCCACCAGAACTCTGCACTGCCGCGGTTTATTACCGCTTATGATGAATATATCTGATTTAAAGTCAGGATCAACGAAGAAAAAACAACTTTCTAAATCTGAGGTTTTGTTTTCTCTCTCCAGAGATTAGCCGTGAATTTGAATCTCTCTCCATGTTTATTAGGAACATAAATCTTCAGCCCATTAGTCCCAGTCTAATAGAAAATAAAGAATACTTTCATATTTTTTACAGGAACACTTTGTCCTGGACTGAAAAACATTTTATTCATCATATATCTGCATTTCACTGAGACACTGATGCTAAAAATATGATAACTAGCCTTTCAGCATAGCTAACAGGTGGTTGTAAACAAAAGTTATGGATATAATGCTACCAGACCACAGGATAAATTTACTATTTCTAACAAAAAAATAACACTAAGTTTATGAATTCACATCAAATAAGCTTCAAAAGAAACAAAAACTAGATTAAAACCAGAAAACAGCTATTACTAATTAACTAAATTGTGATGCTTTGAAGTATAGACAATTTGTTCATTTTAATACTGTGCTTATGTGTTAATTGTTACACTAAACCATGATGCATTTTATATTAATATAATACTTGAAGCTAACTTTGTCGGATTTCTCCCACCTCAACACTAACCGTCTGTTAAAGTCTGATTGTACAACAGGAACCAAATCAAACGCATTTCAGCCTCGTGTTGAACAGCAGCAGGTCATTACTGTGACGAATCTCCAATATTTGGCACATTTACTGCAGCGAGGCTGTCGGCTTAAATAACTGACAGTGTTTTTAAGCTAAATTTAGAAAGCTACAACCGGCCGCGTCGTAAGAAGCGATGCTGCCGCTGTCTTTGAATCCAGTCGCAGAAACTGAAAGAACATCTCTCCTTATCTCTTTCTGTTTCTCAAACTCTCGACCGCAACAGGAAGCTGACACTCTCGGGAGTCACCAGAGAGCGCTTCGCTGCTTCCCTCATGTGCGAGAGAGATTGATGGACCTTCCCGCTGACCCCCCGCCCGCCCCGAACCTCCTAGGCCTCCATGTAACACTCAGCTGCCATCACCCATCCTCCACTCCTGTCTCCCTGCAGGACTTTGCCCAAACTTGTTACCCGTCTCTTATGAAACCGAGCTGGCAGATTCTGCTCCTCGGTTCCTCTGCGTCTCAGACTGACAGACACCAGCTTCCCTCCTCTCCTGCCTCCATCTTTTATTTCTGTCACCCCCCTCCCCGCCTCGGTTACACATTGACTGCTGTGTTTGCGGTGGAGCAAAGTGGAGTTTAGAACCGCCATGATAAAGTGTTGCGATAGCATCAGCCGTGTGTTAGCTCCACTGTACGGCATACCGCAGCAGGGGCGGGGGGAGGGAAGGACCTCAGCCAATCAGAGAGCTCCTCTCAGAGTGGAGCGATCTGCCAGCTCCCAGCCAATCAGGAGGCAGGTTCTTCTCCTCCCAGACACACAGGTTTATCCATCTCTGTGAGCCGTTTATCTCATCTACGGCAGCAGGCTGGGGACAGTTTGATGGTCTGGAAATTACTCACTGCAGTTTTTATTGTTTATAATAAATAGGACTGGTGTAAAGGAATCTAGGGAACATTTATATTAATAAACGCTGAATAAACAGCTTAGATTGGTTAATTTATTTTATGTAAACTGACTATTATGTATGTTACATGGTGTTAAATATAACTGTTTATCAGTGGGATCCATCAGTGGGATCCATCAGTGGGATCCATCAGTGGGATCTCAGCAGGTAAATTAAAATTATATTTTTCCTGGTTGCATTTTCTAAGAATGCGACCAGGAAAAATGTCTGAAACTCAACTTCATGTTCCTTTCTCCATGTTTGAAGTAAAATCCTGATATTTGCCTGAAGCTAATATTTGCTGACCCCTGGAAGGGTCAACAGGTCTCCCTGGATGACCCCGGATGACCTCTGGCTGCATCTATAAACAAGAAGTGAGGCAGGAAGCTGCAGCTGAGGAAACAGAGACATCCAGGAAGTAGACAGAGCCCAACGAGCACCGTGATGAGAAACAGAAACAAACTTCCATCATTTCAGAGAGAAATCTGACAGGAAGGAGGCGGGGAGCTTTACGGGTGGATAGACAGAGAGGAGCAGGGGTCAGAGGTCAGCAATGGACGGAGGGATGAGAGGGAGGAGCATATTTACCCGTTCTTTTTCGTTAATCAAACACTCGCTCGATCGTTCCGAGTCTCAAGGGCGGGGCGGAAGGGGGCGGGGTTTGTTGTGTTTGAGTCTGAAGGAGCGTTCACACTGCGGGGGGGAAACAGAGACACGTCAGTAACAGAGACACACCTACAGTACAGTAACACACACCTGCACACACAACAGGGAACAACGGGGAACAACAGGGAACAACAGGGAATAAAAGGGAACAACAGGGAAAAACAGGGAATAACGTGGAACAAAAGGGAACAACAGGAAACAACGGGGAACAACAGGGAACAAAAGGGAACAACAGGAAACAACAGGGAACAACAGGGAACAAAAGGGAACAACAGGGAACAAAAGGGAACAACAGGAAACAACGGGGAACAACACGGAACATCGGGGAACAACAGGGAATAACGGGGAACAAAAGGGAACAACAGGAAACAACGGGGAACAACAGGGAACAAGGGGAACAAAAGGGAACAACAGGAAAAAACAGGGAACAACAGGAACAACGGGGAACAAAAGGGAACAACAGGGAATAACGGGGAACAAAAGGGAACAACGGGGAACAACAGGGAACAAGGGGAACAATGGGGAACAACAGGGAACAACGGGGAACAAAAGGGGACAACAGGAAACAACAGGAAACAGTCACAGGAAGTAAACAACAACCAAAAACATCAAATAACAGAAAACCTTTTTCTTAACATTCAGGAAGATGAATCAAACTTGTTCTGAACATTTAACAGAAACATGTTCAGACGTCACAAATCCACAATAAATCTAAAACATTAATAAATAAAAACAACCCCAACATTAATAAACTCGTTAACATCTGGATACTTAGTTTAAAATCCAATTAGAACTAAAATGACTAAATGTTTACTTTTTGTTTTAGTCAAAGACTTTTTTTGACGTTGAGAAGCTGAAATCAGAGTTTTGTTGATTTATTTTTATTATAAAATGAATGTAAAAATAGTAACAGAAACTGATATTTTCTCTCATCAGATCTCATAAAAACATTCAGTACCGACCGACCGACCCGGTTTCCGGTTCTGGACCTGGAAATTAATATTAATTAATATTAATATTAATATGAAAAACTGTTTTCATTCTGAAGATTTGTAGCACCAGTTTGTCTATTTAAACTCTGTTTCTTTGCAATCAGATCTGGGATGTTGACCAACATGTAAACATAATGATGCCACACCAGAACAGGAAGTGACAAACAGGAAGTTGTTTTAGCATCATGGACAGAAAGCAGCAGACAGTTTGTAATCAGCCTGCAGCAGCTCTGAGGCATCAACAGTTAAACTGAACACACGTAGCTCCAAATGTCTGAAGGTCAGAGGTCAGCCTGCTGATGTAATCACCACTGCCTGATAACGCCAACGGGAGCGCCATGCAGGCCCGCTGCGGCCCGATGCATGATGGGAAGCCAACAGATACCTGGTATCTGCATTATGTAGGCCAAAGTCAGAAAACAAGGACACCCTGTGCGTCTGTAGGGACCGTTTGATACAATAATGACAGCTGGACAGCAGCGGATCCAAAGGACGAGTCAAAATAAGAACATCCAGCAGAGGAGGAAGAGGATGCTGGAGGAAACAAAGGCCGTGTCTGCTGCAAATGGAGGCTTAGCCGCACGGCACAAAGAGGATAATCTGCTGCTGTCAGGCAGCACAAAGTGAGGAAACTCAACGAAAACACAAGATAAGACAGAAAGATGGGCAGATAAAAGGGAAGCAACAGGCTGCAGGGCTCAGCCACGTATTTATGGATGGAGGGATGATGAAGAGGAAGAAGAGGAGAGGGGGATGGAGACAGAAGAAAAGATTAAGAGCTTATAGGGTTGGTAAGGCTAATTAGGAGGCGACTGAGGATGGAGGTGAGGAGGAAAGAAAGCGTCTCGTCTGCATCACCGATCAGGAGCAACTGGGAGTAAAACTGCAGATAATCTGAGGATGTGCATGCAGAGGAACGCATGCATAGAAAACACACACCCAGTCAAATCCCAGCTTTGATTTGACCAATAATAACTGACAGAAATGATGTTCCAAAATAAAGCAGCCTTAAAGCTCTATTAGTTACGAACCACAGCAACAGAACTGTGGTTTCCATGCAGCTAACGGTTTCAGACGATAAAAACTCTGGAGCCAAATTACTGTTCAGAGGAGGATCTGTTAATGAGCCAAGTATTGTTGGAGATAAAGGAGGTGTAAGCTGATACAGGGAGGCGCTGCGGCTCCCACCTAACCCAGGATTTATCACCATGTCCCCCCCGCCGCCACAAAGTCCACCGATAAGCCTGCAGCTAATGAGCTAGCCCGCTAACTGGCGTTAGCTTTGTTCTGCTACAGTCAGAGGCATTGTTAGCAGCTAAACGCTTCAACAAAGGTTAATGATTTATAATCAGTCAGATAACATTGACAAAGACGACACATATCAGGCTTTATGCTGCTATGAGTTATAAAATCTCCATAAAGTTTGATAAATCTTGAATTTCAGATATACATTTCTGTTGAGTCATGCTAAGCTTCAGCCTCCACTTCCATCAACAGAAAAAGTATCCATCAAAATTAAAATGTTAAAAGGAAACAAATGTATTTATTCAAAATAAAAATCACAGTTACATGTTAGCATTAGCTGCTTAGCTTGGATTAGCTTGCCAGAAAAAAAAAACCTTAAAAAACATGTTGAGATTATCTTAAGCATGCTAACGGTTTGCAGTGCTAACATGTAGCATTTCCTCTAAATGTCAAAAGGAAACCAATTAAAGTTTTATTTTGATGTATGCACTCAGACTGATGATAATGCTGAAAAATAGTTATTTTCATTTTAATGATTAGATAAACTTTATAAAAAGTATTGCAAGTTAGTTTAAATATGTTTATAAGCTAACAGCTTTTATGCTGACCTGCTTTACATGGTGCTTTTAAACAACATGCAAAAAAACTTTTTAAGGCCTAAGATGTAGATGTAGCAAATAAAACAAAAAAGTTTTTTTTCAGTGTTAATGATATTAGCATCATGGTTATTAGCAGCTTTTCTGAAGCAAAATGTCATAAAAGTGAATTAAATTCTTTCTCTGCTGCCGAACAGGAACAGCCTGTTTTCCTCTAACCACACTGAGTGACGAGGCATGAAACATTAGCCAGCCGAGACGTTCACACGGTGTCCTGGTTAGCCTGTTACACTGTAACTGGGCCGACTGGGAGAAAACCAGAGCTGTGATGGGCAGAGTGCAGCTGGATGAAGTGATGCTTGCAGCGGGCCGCCAGCAGCAGCAGCAGCACACCGGCGGTAAAAATAACCCGCAGAGCGAGAGCAGGAATGTGTGCGCCGAAGAATGCTGCTCCGCTTCTGGTGACAGGCATGGACAAGTGCAGAGGGAGGCAGAGAGGAAGAGGAGGAGGAGGAGGAGGAAGAGGAGCAGCACCTGAGCCAAGTGAGGAGAGAAAACTGGGGAAAGCTCAGAGGAGCAGCAGGAGCTCCAGCCTCCACTTTAAACATCAGAGATGCTTCAGACACTCAGGAAGTTTCACAATCCCAGCAGGATGGAGGGGCGAGCGACAGGAGGAATGAGAGGGAGCGGTTGCTAACGGCGACACAAAACAGGAAGTGAGACGAGAAGACGGAAAGCCTGAGAAAGAAGCAAACGTCTTCAGAATCCAGTCAGACCAGACGAGCCGCTCCCAGCAAACTCTACGCTGATTGGCCGGCTGCCCGCAAGCTGAGGCTGATGGGCCAGAGGACCCGGCCGCCCCCGGCCCGGTCCTGTTCAGACCCAGGGTACCGGTTCTGTTCAGACCCAGGGTCAGCTGGCCCAGCGTGACGCGGCGCTGCCACTTCCTGTCGCTGCGACCGGCTCCTGAGCGAACAGAAACTTAAACGCTGCAGATTTTCTCATCAGCTGATGATGAGAAAATCTTTAATAAGCCCAAAACGAATCGGGCCAAACCGGTAAAGATGGCCGCTTCCTCCAGAAACCGCTTCAGTCAGCAGGTTTCCTCATTACGGATCATCTCCTATCGGTGACCTCTGACCTCTGGGCTCAGAGGTCACCCTGGAATAAAATGAACCTCATTGATGGTTTCATCATAAATATGAAACCATCTCCAGTTCCTCTGCAGGAACCGGTCTGGTCCGGTCCGGTCAGGTGGCCATAAATCTCATAACTGCTTTATCCTGATCTATTTATTGATTCATTTTCTCATTTTTCATGTTTTCTAAAGCTTTGTTTTTATTTACTTTGGTTATTTTTCATCTCTTTCTGTTTGTCACATGACAGTTAAATATTTTAGTGTTAAATATTGTAATGTACATTAAAATATTTAACTGTCACAGAAACCTGGAAACTGTTGATTTATAAGAACCAACAGAAATATTGATGCTTTCCTTCTTCAGAGGGAAACTTGGTCACTAAAGCTGCTGCAATCTTTGGTTTGTTCAGAAGTTTAAACGTTTCTGGTGGATATTTGCTGCTAAATTAGCAAAAATAAGAGAAGTTCTGTGAAACTGAAGGTTATGTGACGTGGAACCAGATGAACATGGTTCTGTCTGTGGTCATTAACCCTCTATGGCATACCGTTGCTCTCAGGCAACAAACCACATTTCTGTACCTCACGTTGCTCCTTTATTTTATTTTTTGGTGGGAATGATTTAAAATACCTCTAGACATATTTTTGTCCAAATAAAAGAGGTATTGAGGTTCATGTGACCTTTTACTTAGAAGAAGAACAGTCCTTTTTATGAAGCAGAGGTGCATGCTACACCTTGCCTCCTACTTGTAAGTTACATATCCCTTTTCTTCATGTTTAAATTTGGGTCACTCTAACTAAAAATATTTTAATATCTGTGAGTATGTAAAGAAACATTATAGATCATTTCAAGACGATTTTTTTTAATAATTTATATGCTAAAACTGTGTTTTTTTGTTTGTTGCCTCAGGGCAACATTGTGCATTTAGGGCCCTTTTGCTCAGACCATATTATTCTAATGTGATAATATTCAATTGATTACAAAATAATTATCACAGCCAATTTTTTTACTTTATTATTGACTAACAGCAACAGGAGATAGATGCAAGGTCATTTCATGGACAAAAGGTGCATGGTTCATAAG